AAGCCCCACTAGGACCAACATTCATCGGTCACCAGTTCGAGACAAGTAGGCTAAACGTGGAAGCCATTAGCGTCAATTGTGCATCTGTTGAATCAAATTGGATGACCCCGATAAGGGCATACTTCCAGGAGGGCTCATTGTCAGACGACCCGGAAGCCAAGAAGCTCAGGATGAGAGTCTCTAAGTTCACTATCCTACAGGGCATCTTGTACAAGAAAGGCTATTCCTTGCCACTGCTACGTTGCCTCTCCCTAGAAGAAGTTGACTACGCCTTATAGAAAATCCATGAAGGAGTTTGTAGAAACCACTCTGGAGGATGCTCCTTCACCCACAAGGCACTCAGACAAGGATACTTCTAGTCTAGCATGGTGAAGGATACTCAGGAGTTCACCAAAAAATGAGACAAGTGTCAGCGTTTTGCCACGATGCACATACAGCCACCAGAGGAGCTGACAACTATCACAAGTTCATGGCCCTTTTTCAAATGTGGCATCGACATCTTGGGCCCTCTACCTCTAAGCAAGGGGCAGTACAAGGTCACGGTGGTAGCCACCGACGACTTCACTAAGTGGGTGGAGGCCGAGCCCTTAGTGAGGATAACAGACACAAAGGTCAAGGATTTTATCTGGAAGAACCTGGTCTACCGCTTTAGAGTACCCCATGCCATAGTCAGCGACAACACCAAGTAATTCAACAACAAGCTCCTGAACTCGTTCTGTGTCGACCTCTAGATAAAACAGTCTCATTCCAGCCCAATGCACCCACAGGCAAATGGATAGACAGAAGTAATGGTCAAAACATTACTACGCAGCTTAAAAACAAGGCTTGAAAGAGCGAATGGTCTTTCGGTTGACAAACTCCTAGGTGTATTATGGGCTTACTAAACGATGCCAATAACCCCAACTAGAAAAATCCCCTTTTCCCTCGCCTTTGGAATTGAGGCAGTTATACTTGTGGAGATCAGGATACATTCTCTAAGGGTCCAACACCACGACCCCATCACCAACGAGGAAGGACTCCACACCAACCTCAACTTGGTGGAAGAGGCAGGGGAAATGGTTGTGGTCTACAGTACAAAGTACAAACACCGTGTGGCGAGGTACTACAATTCGAGGGTGAAACTTCGTTCCTTCTAACCAGGAGATTTAGTCCTCAAGAAAGTGATTCTCCCCACGAAGGATCTGTGATAAGAAAAGTTTGGACCAAACTCATAACAAAATTAGTGAGGCCAGACACCTACAAGATCCAGAATTTCGAAGAAAATGTCTTACCCCATCCCTAGAATGCTGAGCATCTAAAGAGGTACTACCAATGACACCTTAGGAGAATAGAAATAGTAAAGTTGGGGAACTTGATTTTATTGTAACTTTTTTGGGTTATTACCCACCATTGCTTAGCATGAGCAGTCATCAATAAAACTTTCTAAATTTACTCCAAAATTTCTTTACATTTTGGCATTTCATTTCAACGGAGCATCACTGGCAAAAAACCACTTTTACAAAAGTGAGGGTACACTACCTTTCTAAAAAAAAAAATCAAAAATCCCCAACACTCTAACTACTCTTAAGGTTGCCTTCCTCCTCCTCACTCTCTACATCGTCAGAGCCACCAGCACCATCATCAGGCGCCTCATATGGCACGAAGCCTAATAGAACAATATTAGGAAAAGCAGTAGAAATCTTTCTCCAAAGCTCCTCGTAACCATCAATGAAGGCATCTACAAGGCCACTCTCTAAATCACCCTCTGCCTTGTTAGATTTTTCACGAGCCAAGAGCAGATCCACCTTAGCCCAAGAAGCCTTCTCGCGGGTCTTCTCATGCTCAGCCTCTTTGAGCGCATCTCTCTTACGGGTCGCCAAAAGCTCAGCCTTGAGCATAGCCGCCCTTTCGCCGGGTTGCCAAAAGCTCTACTTCAGCCCTCGTGCAAACAGATTCTCTGATCCTAACCCTCTCATGGGTCGCCACAAGCTCAACCTGGGAAGCCCTACCATTAGATTCAATCTCAGCAATCCTCCCCTAAGAAGTAAAAAGCTCTTTTTGCATAGCCTCATGACACCGCTTCAGCTGGCCGTAATAAACAGCCCTTGAAAATAGACACACAGACGCAGTTGAAACCTAAAAAGGGCAAAAGGCAAAAGAATGTCAATACCAAAATATGGACTAGAGAAAGGGAGACAGTAGACCCTTACCTGAGCCAGACCTTCCAGAAAGTGTTGATGACACCCTCGGTGCCCCAAGCACTAATCTCATTAATGTTTGTCAAGAACACAAACCTCCTAAGTCACTCTCTAACGACTCGCACATCACCCAACATGGATCCAATCTGAGTAGATGTTCTTGTAGAAAGTTTCCACTGAAGGAGTCGATGAATGGGGGGCAGGAGGTGTAGCCGACGAAAAAGTCTCTCGAGTGGCGGTCACATTTGAAAGAGTTCCTGACTGAGGAGGGGCCATTAAAGGGGTTAACTAAGAGGGGCTCGTCGAAGTATTGCTCACCCTCGCCACCTTGGGAGGTGGAGTACTCCTAGTGGAATAACAGGACTCCACCACTATCCTGTCCACTAGAGAAGGGAAAAAGTGTTATCCTCATAAAAACCAAGTAAAGAAGGAGAAGACAAGGGAATCAACATACCTTTTATCTTTAAAGAGGAGTCACTAGGTCTCGGAGAGGGTGCACCAGCCCTATCACTACCAATTGAAGAGTCTTTAACTCCACCCTCTTTGAGCATAAGAGCTCCAAAGTCCTTTACAAGATGAGCCCTCATAGCTTGCAACTTTCACTTTTGGTCCTTGAAGAGCACAGGAGAACCTGCAAGGGATATGATGAGTACACATTTACAAAACAAGGCGAAGGAGAGAAAGTAAGTGTGGACATACCAACTCTCCTAGGAGTGTCTCATCTTATTGATACGAAAGCTCTATCAACCTTTGAAGCCCACTCTCCGCTAATGAACATAAAGTGAGACTTTCAACTATGGCAGTTAGAGTGCAATCTAGTAATCAATTTACCTTCTCTCGTAGTAAAGTAGTACTAGCCTCGGTTAGGACCATGGGTCTCATTCTAAGTACAGGCTGCACAAAACTCGTCAGGAGAGGCATTCTCATGATACATTTTTCTCCACAGTACTAGAAAACCCAACAAAACTCTCCAACCATTGGGCGCCAACTGCCCTGGTACCAGTGAAAAATAATGTAGAATACGACAAACAGAATAAGGCATTGAAACCTGAGCCTAGCCACAAGCACCTCCTCATAAATAGAAATGTCTCCAGACGAGCCATCACAAGCAGGCTCGCCCATCTCGGCTTGACGACACAGTACCGTTGGAAGAATGTGGTAGATAGAGACAATCCGCAAAATATCAGTGTCCATATTGAAAGTACTATAAATGGTACTTACTTTTGATGCGTCCTCGAGGGCCACCTTCCCTCGATGTTTGTTGCAACAAGAGCGAGGAGCATTGCTCGGGCCACTACCAGGAGATCCATGTCTAGTGTCTACCTCTGCCACACTTGGCTCACCCAATGGTGAGGACCCAATTACATGCGACGCCGCCTGACTGCGCCTAGTACCCATCAGAACTACCTTCCTGGTATTGCCCAGTACCTGTCGATGCCTCCCTCACGATCGCCAATTCTTGCCCAACATTCAGGAGCGCTGGATCATCTCCACAGTCAGCCCCGCCAGACTGGGTCCTCACCAGCTCACCACACGGCGCCCGTGGTGCTTCACCCGAGGATGCCAATGGCGCCTTGCCTGAGGTCACCCATGGTGCCTCGATGGGGGGCGCTCGTAGCGCCTCGCCCAAGAATGCCCCAGGAGCCCCGGCCTTGACAGTGCCCATGGGGGTTTGCTCGTCGACGCCATTAGTGCCTCCACCATGATGCTTGCCCATGGGAGCATGCCCACGATACTCACCCATGGGAGCTCACCCAATGGCAAGGACCTCAGTCCATTAGAGCAGCACCTCACTGTTAGCACCTCCCTCGTGTTCAGTTTGGTCTCCAACCAGTGGCGCCAATGGGGATTTGCCTGTGCAGCTTTTCAGTGACACTAGCCTGGCCAACGTCCTCCTGAGCGTGTACTGTGGTACCCCCTTCTTCAGTCATCACTACACCAAGCTCCTGATTGCCTTCCTCAATGTCAATTAGTCCATTGCCATGGATATCAATCGGTTCTCCTCATTTGTTCGACATTGATTTCTGAGAACTCATCCCAGGAACAAAATCTCTAGCCTTAGGTTCCTAAGTATCTTAATAAGGAACTTTCTCTCAATATTGGATGAAATGAGGAGAAAAGGAGAAACCCCTCATTTATAGCCTAGGGTTTTTCCAAATCCTATAAGGAGATAAAAGTGGGAGAGTTTATATAGCTGGAGACGTCTGAAATCTAGTCGCAGTGCAACATGGACGTAGCGGGATTCGTCTCAGATTGCTAGAGAGTCCTTGATTGGGTTGAAACTGATTGCCTTGACATTGACGTTGATTCCATAGTCAAGAGGAGTCTTCATAAGTCAGAATTCAAATTCAACTAAATGTCATCTTCTCTAAGTTCTATTGGACTCAGGGCATTGGGGGGGCAAATGATGTGCCAAACTCAAGGGCCTAACTCATGATATAAGCCTAGTCTGAATAAAGAGCCCAACTTGAAGAGATCTAGTGGGTCCAGCCCAAAAGGGGTCCACACCCAGTCAAGCTCATCAGGGTTCGAGGAGCTACATCATAAAGGAAGGCAGAGTCATATCAAGAGCCTCATTCACGCCACCTTGAAAAAAGTCAACCACCATGTCATCCTTTGACCGGATCTTATGGGAGAGTCGTAACTGCCTCATTCGTTGAGAAGATGGCGCTAGCTCCACCAACTTGGCCTTTTAGTTACTGATAAACCGCCTCAATCTGTTAGGAGATGACTATAAATTACAAGCCCCACTAACACTTGGGGGGCATCACACTCAATCGAGCAAATCTACTATCACTCTCCTCTCTCTCTCTCATAGCTTGTATCTCCCTGCTCTCCCTACACTCCTCAAAGTAATAAAATAACCAGGCGACTCCAGCCGTTTATAGTGGACGTAGGTCATGTTGATCGAACCACTCTAAATCTTTGTTTCACTCAAGTTACTCTCTGTCTACCTAATTACTTTATTTATTATTGATCAGTTGACTGGTGGTCCATAAACCCAATTTGTGCATCATCAACTATGATTGTTCAATGGTTGAGGTTTGTTGACTCATTGAGGAAAGGGTAAAGGAACATGACTTGATTTTTCTTTCTTGTCAGGCAACTCTGTTTCTTTTTGAATAATAGGTTCAGACTCAACTGGTTCATTTACAGGATTCAACTCAGTCACTAGTTCAAGTATTTTGGTTTTGATGGGCTTGTCAATTACTTTACCACTTCTCAATATGGTAACTGATTGAACTTGGTTTGAAGAAGATTCACATAAGGAAACATTACCATAGGTTTGACCCTATGGAAGTTTAGGTTAAGATGAGAAATTTTCCTTCTCTGTTGTGCTCAAAGACTAGGTCAACTTGGCTATATGATTTTTATTCATTGTTTTTGTCACACCCCCACCCCAGATCACATAAGGTGAGCGGTGGACTGGCTACCCATGCCTTAACCAACCAACCCTATGTATAGTAAATGTAAAATACAGCGAAAGACAAATAATAAAGTGATCTTCCACCGACCTAAAGAATACCAAATGAATAAATTAAACATCACCAACATCATTACTAATTCCATGTAAAACAATAATTAAACTGTAAGGTTCACTACTCCAAACATGAGTAACATTATTCCCAAAATAATTAAATATTTGTCTCAAAACTACAAAAGACATTTATTCCTGAAGACCTACAATACAATAAATTTTCAAGTCTTCTAATCTCTTGTATATCAGCAAATGTACTCCTCACCCTGATCCTCTCCTAAAAAATGTTAAATGTTTGGATAAGCACAATGACCCGTGAATAGCAACCACCTCTAAGGAGGTGTGAAAATTAATCCCACAGTTTATATACAAAAATAAACTTTGATACATACATAAGTATAATAAATTGTACCCCAATTCCTCCCACATAATCATGTAAACAAAATGATCTCATGATCACAAATAACTTTATAAATGAAAAGACATTTATAACCCAAAATACTCACTCATTTTCATAAATAACTTTATAAATGAACAGACATTTATAATCCAAAACACTCACACACGCATTCAGTCCCAAATGTATTTGTCAAATCATGTTTGTAACCACTAGTCTGGTAATTGACCCATATCTTGTTACCACTAGCCTAGTAACTGACCCCGTCTCTTGTCACCACTAACCTGATGACTGACCCCTATGTGCACATCTCTATACCGATCACACCGGTATACTATCTCATTACCATTTTGACTTGGTAACCTAGTCCCTATCTCATAAAACATGATTTTCACACATATCAAAACTGTCGATTTAGTCCCAATGCACATAAAATTTTCCTTTCATCACCAAAACAATGATGTAAAATCATCCCACAACTTTTCCAAAGTTCATATGTATAATAGTTCACAATTGTAAAACAATTGATTGCAACCCCAAATATCAACACATATATATCATATATATATATGAAAAATTTACACGCATGCACCCACACATTTAATATAGAAAATCCTCCCAAAAGAAGTATTAACTACTCACATTGATTCCCAAAATCCGATTCAAAGCCCTCTTTCTCAACCTCAATGCAATTACCACCTAATCCAAAATAACATATAACGATCAATCCCTATTCCTAACTTTGTCATTTCACGATTCTATATTTAATTTACGTACTTCCTACGCATTGATATATACTTAATATATCATTTACATATAAATATCTTTTATAATATGAGGTAATAGGGTATAAAAGTATTCTGGACTGTTTAGAAAAAGTTTTTAAAATTTTGTCAAATCATAATTTTTTTAAAACTTCAAGTGTAATTTCTTTTAAAAAATAATTTTCTATTTTCGAAACTGCTATAAAATTTTCAAAATTCTATTCTTCCAACTTAGCAAGTAAAATAATGGTTAAAATATAGTTTAGAAAACTATAGGGGTCTAAGTAAAACTTTTTAAAACTAAAGAAAATGTTTCTAGAATTTTAAGAAATCCATCTTCTCCACCCACCGAAAGTTAGAGAACCTGTGACTTTCTTCCTTCTTCCCCTTTGCTTTCTTTTTTTTTTTTGCTTCATTTTTTTTTTTTTACACATTAAATAAATTCTTTAAAAACTTCAAGACCGATCAATCTAAATTAGGTCTAAAAACACCTAAATTAGCAACTTTCAATAAAATTCATTTACATATTCCTCAATATTCTTCATTAATATATATATATATATATATTCATTATCACTATTTATAATAAACCTAATACCATATAATTGAATAGAATACAAAATCCATCAAATAATTAATNAATATATATATATTCATTATCACTATTTATAATAAACCTAATACCATATAATTGAATAGAATACAAAATCCATCAAATAATTAATGAATTCATACCTTCAATAGATCAAATCCTTTTTGTTTTTTTTTTGGTTCTTATTTTCTTCCTTTCTTCTCTCTCTCTCTCTCTTCCTCTCTCACGCATATATATATATATATATATATATATATATATATATATATATATATATATTTCTTTGTTTGCTGCCACTTGTTTTGGTCTTCTAGGGTTTTCCTATCCAACAATACTACCTTAATTAAATCACATGTAGAAGAGTCCTAGTAGCTCTCTCTAGGGCAAAAATTTTATTAGAGACACATTAATCTTCTTTAAATTATTTTTATTCATATATATATATATATATAATTCCTCCCAGATAACCAATGCTCCAAAATAAAACAATATATATATATATATATTGTATTGTATGGGTTATTACATTCTCTCTTCCTTAAAAGAATTTCGTCCTCGAAATTTATATGCATTGTGAGAACAAATGAGGATATTGATTTTTTTTGTTTTCTTTACTTTTCCAAAGAAATTTCTCAATTGGGTGGCTCTTCTGCAATAATTGACCAACATAATGGTTCTATTTACACAAAATTTATTGGCTCCTCAACATAAATATTGCTATGTTTGGTACATGATATTAGGCCTTAGGATAGAATGGACATTCCATGGGAATGCCTATTTTAATGTTTGGTTTGTAGGATTTAAAATTCATTCCCATTCCAAAGGAATACCTAATCCCATAAATTATGGGATTTGGCATTACCAAATCCAACATGATATTCTCCATTCCCAATCCACTCGGTAATAGCCCAATCCATCTGAAACAAAAAACCCGATTGCTCAAATCTAATGTTTGGTTTGCTCTCTCATCAGTCTCTCTCGTCTCGTCTCCTCTCTCTCTCTCTCTCACACACACACACTCATCAAATATGCGTCTCTCTCTGAGATCCAAGACTCCATCTTTGTGGAGGCCCGCTGATATCAATCTCGGAACTTCAAATGGTTTGAAAGAAGAGTTAGAGCGGGTGTTGCTATATGTAAAGTCCAATGACTAGTTCCTTGAAGTTCCTTGGATTTTTAGAGCGAAACACATCACTGTCTCCCTCGGCCGGCATATGTGGCTAAGAAGATGGAGTAAAATTGTTAAGATATTGAGTGCTTGTGTGTAGCTCAATCCAGTTGCGCCTTTAAAAATTGTCTCATTGTTTCAGATTATGCCTCATGGCATACCTCACTATCTTTTTCACCCCTGATAAATACCAATGGCGCTTGCAAATATCACTCCACAAATCTCCATCCAAATATTGCATAGCTTTGTGTTCAGCATACCATATGTTTGATAATTTGCCATGGCGACAAGTGATGTAAAGCTTTTGGGTAAATTGATAAGCCCCTTCGTCAATCAGGTCTAAATCGCCTCGAACCTGAAATCCATCGACTATGAGTTCATTGAAGAAAATCTCGAGCACAAAAGCTAGTTCCTCCTTAAATCAAACCCTTTGCTCAAGAAAATCTCAGTACTTATCCATGGAGATAAGCCAATCTGCGAGTCCCTTCTCATTGTCTAGTATATCGATGAAGCTTGGACTAAAAGCCCCTTCATCCTCCCTTCTGATCCCTACGATCGAGGCACTGCTCATTTTTGGGCAGCCTATATTGATGATAAGGTACTCATGATATTTGCCCACCACCTGTTTGATAAAATTCACTTCTGTATTTGTGTTGTGTTTTAACATAGTTCAAATGGTTGCAGTGCTTCCCATTATTCATAGAGCTTAGGACGACAGGGGAAGAGGGGAAGGCCATGATAATAGAGAAAATAGTTGAAGGGCTAGTGATGTTGGAGGAAGTGTTTGGCAAAGTAAAAGCTTTCTTTGGTGGGGATAGTATTGGATACCTTGATATTGCTCTGGGTTGCTACTTGCGGTGGCTGAGGGTGTTAGAGATAACGGTTAAGGTAAAGTTGCTTACTGAAGCCAAGACACCGAAGTTGTTGGGATGGGTTGAGAGGTTTTGTGCAAATGATGATGTTAATTATGTACTACCAGAGCCTGCGAAGCTCATAGTAGAGAAAATTTGGCTACTGCTGCAAAAAATAATTGAAATTTATAATTATAAATTTGAAGGATTTATCCTATTTTTGAAGGAATTTATTTTCTAATTTTTTAAAATTTATAGGAGTTTAATTTTTTTTAATGGATTCTCATTTTTTCTAATTATAATTTTTTTTACACAACTTTTAAAGGCAATCACAATCATAAAAAAAATTGTTATTAAATATTTTTAGTCACTATAGATATTTTGGTTAAAGTTTATTTTATTCCAATGAAAAAATTGTTTTATCCAAACATAAGAATGAAATGCACATTCCATTCCAGCATTTAATCCTAAACAATTGTCAAACATTGGAATGGTAATACACATTCCATTCCATTCCCATGTTCATTCCATTCCCAAACTCATTCTATTCTTACTGAAAAGTATTATTGCGTACCAAACGTAGCGTTAAGAGTTTTCTTTAGCTAAATAGACTAACTCAACTAACATATTAGAAGGATCAGGTATATACACTTCCTGGACATATTGCAACAAAATATGTCTTGAAACTGAAACAAGTTTGTAAATAGAACAAAATTTAAAACTATAACCATCATCCTCTCTATAATCTCATATATTCATTTATATCTTAGACTAAACTTTCCTTCGAATTTCTAGTACACTATGCGCGAAACTTAATGCCAAGGTATGAATAGTATACTCAGACTGCCCATCAAATTGAGAACTATAAATTATACTAAATTTCAAAGTGTTATCCACAACATGTTGCAAATTAGGCCAACTCTAAAGATAAATTTTGAAGTTCCATCTAGTGTACTTTGAGCATACCTAAAAGTGAATATGTAAATTCAATTACCAAAACTAATCGGACTTCGTCAATCAATCCATAATAATCCAAATAGATTTATGCCCAATCTATATCCTGAAAGTCATTATAGAAAATTCATAGTAATTTACTCCAATTTCTACTCAAAAATTTGAAAATTAGTTATAGTAAACCTGAAGGATACTGATACTTAGTCTTTATCTATCAATGCACTACACATTGACTACCAATTCCACAATTTTTCTTTTCATTTAACTCAATCAATAATAGTTGTTCAATATCAATCTAATTTTGTACTCCCCGGACGCACATAAAATTATGGGTTGTATCTATAATGTCTCTCTTCAACATGTTCTTTTTTGATGCCCATAACTAATGCCAAAATATAAACATAATCTCACCAAAAAGTACAAAATATATCCTATTACTATGTTACACATCTTTTCTAATACTCTGCACATGTGTCCCCCCCCCCTTTTTTTTGTAACTAACTGATACGATCTACCAATAAAAGTTTAACTTGCAATTGAGTTAATAATACATTTGTACAAGTTAATATCACACGTACCCCTATCAATCTTAAATCAACCAAATTACTTATTTGGCTATATTGAATACAAAACAAACTTCTTAATGATTTCTTGCTCAGTATATCGACCACTTTAATAGTTTTGCCTACATGATAATAATAGAATAATTATAGTCCCTAATCTTTCTATCCAACTCATTTTTCTCAAATTAAACTCCTTCTTAACAAATAAATCTTTCAATCTTTGATAATCGAAATATATCTTGCATGTCTTACCTTATAAACAATCTCTGCATAACCTCAAAACAAAAAAAAAACAAAAAAACAATTACATCTAACCCAAAATTATGAGAAGGGTAATTCATTCTTTACTACAAGAATACACAGGTGTAACACCAATGAATACAGTTACATATGAATCTAGATAAAGTTAAGATACGCAATTTAGTCAATCCATAAAAATAGATGTACCATTTGTCAACCTTAATGACTTCACCAAAAATATGATGACTATCCCAATTGGACAGACTATTTTTTTTTTTTTAAAACATCACCATTCCTTTCTTTTAACTAAAGATAATCCAACTTAAAATCAATCTTACTAAATTCTCTAACCCCCCTCAAGTGATCAAATTAATCATCAATACCATATAAAAGATATTTACTGTTTATTGCAACCTTACTCAACTGATATTAATCGACATACATTTCATAATCCCATCATTTTTTTTTGAAAAACACAACATGAGCACCCCACAACAAATTGCTAAGTTAAATAAATCTTTGATCTAATATATTTTCAATTAAATTTCCAATTCCGCTAGTTCAGCGAGAACCATCCAATACGGAGTAATAAACATAAGTAAAGTACCTCAAGGCTACTAAAAATGTAAATTTTATCTCTCTCCAATTGTAGCATAGACAACTCCTCTCAAAATACATTTAAAAATTTTCTTTTTATTGGTATCTCTTCAAGAGAAACTCCCTCATTCTGTGCATCAATAATATTAGCAATATTTCCCTGAAAATCTTTTCTCACCTTTTTTCGAGCTTGCATTCGCAGAGTTAATACTGGGGATTAAATAATTCATGTTCCTCAAAACTAAATTTGCATGACATTTTTTTAAAACAGCCAACTGTCGCATGTTGTGTGACTTATCAACTCATAATTAATATCACATCAAAACCTTTAAGGTCTAAGAAATTCAATCAACTAATAACTGATGTTCTCTAATATGCACCCTACAGTTTGGGTACACGACATCTCTTAACTCAAAACCACCCGTAGGAGTTGTCACGGTCAAAATTAAACTCAAATGTTTTGGGTTTTACACCCAATCACACTACTACTCTAAGAGACACGGAAGCATGTATAGACTTTAAAATTTTATTAATTTCAATCACATTTCTTACAACATCATTACCATCATTTTTTGCAACTATCTCTTGTTTGTACAAAATACCAAACAAATTAACTAGTCTTAGTCACTACACAAATAATTCTATTAACATCATTTTGTATCCCTCAAACTAAAACCGATTAAAGTCTACAAAACCATTCAAATCCAACCTATTCCTCTAGTATTCATAAACCTATGCGTTGATACCACTCTTGTCACACCCCCATCTTGAATCATATAGGGTGGGCGACGAACTGGCCACCAAGGCCTCAACCAATCAACCTTGTACATAATAAATGTAAAATACAGCGAAAGACAATAATAAAGTGATCCTTCACCAACCTAATGAATACCAAATGAATAAACTAAATATCACCAACATCATTACTAATTTCATGTAAAACAATAATTAAACCGTAAGGTTCACTACTCTAAACATGAGTAACATTATTCCCAAAATAATTAAATACTTGTCTCAAAACTACAAAAGACATTTATTCCTGAAGACCTACAATACAATAAATCTTCAAGTCCTCTAATTCCTTGTATATCCGTAGACTTACTCCTCACTTTGATCCTCTCCTGAAAAATGTTAAATATTTGGATGAGTACAATGACTCGTGAATAAAAACCACCTCTAAGGAGGTGTAAAAATAAATCACACAGTTTATATACAAAAATAAACTTTGATACACACATAAATACAACAAATTGTACCCCCAATTCCTCCTACATAATCATGTAAACAAAATAATCTCATGATCACAAATAACATTATAAATGAAAAGGCATTTATAACCCAAAATACCCACTCATTTTCACAAATAACTTTATAAATGAAAAGAGATACATATATTTTGTATGGGTTATTACAGCTTTATCAAAACACACACATAAGATTCTATTCAGAAATATTTGTTCAGCAAACTATGAGGGCAGGGAAGTTTAATCTGAGTTAATGCTATAGTTTGCTTCCAAATCAAATATTACAAGCATTTTTCTTCTAGCTTAATCACTATCCAAGAGAAGGTGGTATTAGCATTATATCAATCTAAACTGCCAAAAAAAATAGAAGCTACCTAGGAATATATTCTTTATTGTCCAATAAAAAATTACATATTTACCATGCAGGAGAACAAAATTCTTAAATTTCTTGGTTTCATGTGGAATCCCTTGTCATGGGTAATGGAAGCTGCAGCAGTGATGACAATTGCTCTTGCTAACGGTGGAGTGAGTTTAAAAAACCATAGCATGTTCTGGGATATTATAGCATATCCCAAGTTTAATTTTAATTTTCTTTTTTCTCTTTTGCTCTTTTGTTATGTATATTATCAGGTTCATAACTTTTTATTGTGAGTAATGTTTCAGGGACAGGGTCCTGACTGGGAGGACGTTGTAGGGATAGTGGGCCTGTTATTTATCAATTCAACGATTAGTTTTATAGAGGAAAATAATGCTGGGAATGCAGCAGCTGCCCTTATGGCACGTTTAGCTCCAAAAACAAAGGTTCGTCAGTTAACTGGTTATCTTTTTTCCTTTTTTTGTGCAAACTATAAATTACAGTAAGCTTTGTGGTGTTTTTTGAGTAACGCATGTTTGCTTTTTACCCTTTTTATCTATTTACTAGATGCAGTCTTTCACTTCCTCCTTTAAAATGCATTTTCTTGATTTTATTATCTCATGCAATTTGCCATTAACTTGTGGTAATTAATCTCTAACCTCCTTTTTGCGTTTTGTTTTCCTTTCACTTTCCCTAAACTTTTTTTGTGACACGCAGAGACTCATAGGCAACAGGCCATAATAAATATTTTTCTTACCGTGTTGAATTCGAAAATTCAGTAAGCTTTGTGGTGTTTTTTTTTTTTGTGTGTGTGTGTGGGGGGGGGGGGGGGGGGGGAGTTGGAGTTGGATTGACTGTTGTTCTCTACTGGCTAGAAATATTGGTTATAGGACTTAAAGTACCTTTTGTAGTCATGGAATCTAGATTTTTACCATGTTTGCATCTATTTATATCTTGTCTTGTAGGTACTCAGAGATGGGCAATGGCAAGAGAGAGATGCAGCTATTCTAGTGCCAGGAGACATTATTAGCATCAAGCTCGGTGATATCATCCTTGCAGATGCCCGCCTGCTCGAGGGAGATCCACTGAAAATTGACCAGGCAAATGCTTTAGAAAAGCTTAAGAAAGAGCTACATTTTATATAAGATTGTGCTTTTGCCTGAAGAAACTTTAGGTGATCCATATTGTGGTAACATTATCTGATTCAAATTTTTTGTGCAGTCAGCTCTTACTGGAGAATCTCTGCCCGTTACCAAGAAGACAGGCGACGAAGTTTTTTCTGGCTCAACTCGTAAACATGGAGAGATTGAAGCTGTAGTAATAGCAACTGCAATTAATTCTTTTTTAGGAAAAGCTGCATATCTAGTTGACTCCACTAAATTCGTTGGGCATTTCCTACAGGTGATATCATAAAATTTCCATATCTAATTTGGAACAGTTTCAGCCTTTCCTCGTCCATTGAAACTATGTTCATTGCTTAATTAGGTAGACTGCCTTGAAGTTTTATAACTCAAGTAAATTGATGCATTCCTCTTGTGATATCTTAGTCATTTTTAATCGTAATGAAATAAATTTTATCAAAGGAAGTCCGTAGTTTTCTTAGGTTGAGTAACTTCAAAATTTTGACGTGAGCATTGATCTTTTGCTGTGATTAAACTGAAAATAAGGTACAATAATATTCCAAACTTTTTCCTTAAATAATTTTTTTTGGCACTAAGCCAGGCCAAAAGCCTGAGAAAAGGTTGCTGTTCCGAAGTCAGAACTGTTTGATATCAGTAAATTCTTGTCGTTTTTGTATTTCAACAGATTGTGAGATGCATAAATGTTTTTCCCTGCAGGTCCTTACCTCCATTGGGAACTTCTGCATTTGCTCTATTGCTATGGGAATGCATTTTGAAATCATTGTAATGTTCGCTGTGCAGCACAGTTCTTACAGGAGTGTAATCAATAACCTTCTTGTGCTCTTGATTGGTGGAATACCCATAGCAATGCCGACAGTACTATCTGTTACGCTTGCAATAGGTTCTCATCGTCTCTCTCAACAGGCACAACTCTAAATAGCTACGAGGCAACTATACTGTAAAGCTATGATGAGAGTTGTAATCTAAAGAGACTATCTTAAATATGAAAAAGCAACAGAGTAGATTACATTGCAATGCTTATGTGCTCCACGACTCCTATGCATACTTAAATAAGTGAACAGATATTGATTATTTTTCGGAGTTCTTGACTGAATCTTGTATGATAAATTAAAAAGTTACTGTCTTCTTTTAGTTTGAGCAAAAGCAATCTTAATGCTGATTTTTCTGCTATTCTTAATTTTGTTACTTAAGGGTGCCATCACAAAGAGGATGACAGCAATTGAAGAAATGGCTGGCATGGATGTACTTTGCAGTGATAAAACTGGGACCCTTACCATGAATCGCCTTACTGTTGATCGCAATCTTATTGAGGTACAATGTTGACTACATGGGAGTCTGTACATTCGACAAACTAACCTACATATCCTGTTGGTAAAAATGGATAAATAAATAAACAAATAGTATTAGGCAAAGTCTGGTGATGAAGTAAAATATCTAAACAAGAGTTGCATGATGAATGAAAGTTGCTTGAAGAGCTTGAACTGAAATGTTGATAGATCCTGCTCAATCCATTTAACATGATTTTGAAGCTTTCTCGACCATTTAATGTGGTTTTGAAGCTTTATAGTAGCGTCGAAAAGTTCCTGACCAGACATATCGTGTAGTCATTTGCTTATTACACACAGACTCGCTATACAGTATCTATTATTTTATCTCATATACTAGGGGATCCTTGTTTGTGCCAGTAAGGTATATGTTGTTTCATACTCACTGCTTTGAGAATTGAGTTGCTTAGATCTTATTCGAAATCTAAATCTCATCTAAAAGATTTCATGTGATGACTAGTCCATTACGTAGGTTTTAAACAAAGATATGGTTGTATTGCTTGCTGCCAGAGCATCTAGACTGGAGAATCAAGATGCCATTGACACAGCACTCATTAAAATGCTTGCTGATCCAAAGGAGGTAAAGAAGAAATATACAATAGCATGACTCTGAAATTTCTTTGTTTCATTCATCTTTCTTTCACTTAATGTTAATCGAACACAAAATGGAAGTGAGATTTTCCATAATTTCCATTTGGTCTGGAGGCCCGTGCAAACATTACAGAAGTGCATTTCTTGCCATTTAATCCTGTGGATAAACGTACTGCACTTACTTACATTGGTTCTGATGGTGATTGGTATCGGGCAAGCAAAGGATCTCCGGAACAGGTATAAATATCCTCAAATGATAGTTACCTTAAATTTCTCTTATTAAATGGTTATTAGCTGTATTTGTGTTTGTTGCAAGGATTATGTCTGTAAGTTTTCTCAAGTAATACTTTCAGGAGCTGAGAAATTTTTATAACTTAAATTGAACACAAGGACTTAAGACTAAAAGAAATGATGACTTGGGCTACTAATTATTCAATGGGAAACCCTTGCAGGCCATCATTTTGAGATATTATTTTATCACTGGAACTTAAAAGATTGGATTGCAGCAACATCAATACAAAAATTGTGCCTCTAGGTTCTTCTTTCTGATTTGACTTTATAATACTAATAGTCTACAAAACGTCAACTTAACATCCTTGACCACTGTCTATAGTGCTAATGTGATTATCTATGATGCCACTTGGCTTCCATTTAAACCACCATATGCTCTAGACTTGTACCTTTTTTTTGAAACATAACTTTTCTACTTAAATGAAAAGATTCCAGAATTTTCCCATTTATTATGCCATGTTGAGTCCTTTTCAGTGTCCTTTTGTGAAAAAGAAGTGTTATTCAGTGTACATTGTGTTGGCAAAGTTTCTATCAGTTTATAGAGATCTAATTTTAGTGATTGTTTGATTTGGTGGGGCATATGAAGTGGATTTATTATATGTGATACTGTTTTTTAGCATCTTAATTTTTATCCTCTATTTTTACCATCCAAATCAGATTCTGAATTTGTGCCAAGAGAAACAAGAGATATCTGCAAAAGTACACGCCATCGTTGACAAATTTGCTGAAAGGGGGCTTAAGGTCTCTTGGGGTTGCTTATCAAGTATGATGCTCTCTGTATTTCTCTATTCATATTGCATTTGGTTAAAGGATGGTTTGGTGGTGGCAATAGTGTTAGGGACTCTTAGTTTCCTGTGGCATGCAATTGATAAAGCCAAAGATTCAAGAGATGTTAACTAGCTGCCATAATAATTCGCAGATGTGTGAGAATCCATAATCATCTGCTAAATAACCTGTAACTAGGTACCATTGACTATGATTTTTGAGATGGACTGTTACAGGACATCTAATCCAGTGAGAGTTTAGTTTTTAAACACACTTTATGGTCCACAGGTTTTGGACTATACAAATAGCTTAACATGCATATGGTTGACATAGGTTTGCCATTAGCACATTTGTTCATTTCTTATAATCATCCTTTCAGGAAGTTCAGGAAAAATCAAAGGAGAGCCCTGGAGGACCTTGGACATTATGTGGGTTATTGCCCTTATTTGATCCACCAAGACTTGATAGTGCCGAGACTATTCACAGGGCACTTAACCTAGGGGTTTGTGTTAAGATGATAACAGGAATATGTGTGATTTTTCCCTTCTGTTTTTTGTTATTTTTAGCAATCAGTTAGCTCTAGTTGCAAAACTAATGATAATTAATGAATAAATCATATTCTTTGAATGGTTTTTGATTGCTGTTCTAACAATTTCTAGAGCATATACCAATAGCACAATGGAAATCCTATTATGCCATTATTTAATTTATCAAATTTATAATTTAAACATGGCTAGGGTTCTCTATCTTGGCTCACTTACTTTGAGATCATCAGACACCTCAGAGTGTTGTACATAAGTTAAGTTGTGCCCTAAAAAGTCAAGATAGGAAAAAGACCTATATTGATTTTTTCAATTCTCATATTTTCTTATAACCAAAAGCATAATTAACAAGCAGGAGGAGGTTCATGATGCCTGTAACTGAAAATGCAAGATCAGCTTCTAATTGTGGTTTCAGATTGATGTATGCAAATCATGTTTTGCACTATTATGACAAACACAAATGGCACAGTGATCTGCTGAAGTAAGATACTAATATGTTGCTGTCATGTGTTAATATAGGAGATCAGTTGGCAATTGCGAAGGAGACAGGTAGACGACTTGGCATGGGAACCAATATCTACCCCTCTTCGGCACTATTCGGCCATGACAAGGATGAATATGAATGTCATTGAAAAAGCAGATGGATTTGCTGGTGTTTTTCCCGGTAACTGAATGTTATTTTCTGTTCAACATTTTCAGTAGTGTGGGGAAAGCTTATCTTGCGGAAAGAAATAAAAAAGATATAAAATAAACAATGTAACGAAGAATCCACCGATTGAACTAAACTTCCACATCCTTGTTCTGCCCAAGTTTGGGCTATCCATTGTTGTTAATTTGTGAGACTAAGAAATGCAGCTATTTAGTGAATGAACTCATGAAAAGACATAGGACTTTCCTATTGTATTCCATTTAGTTGGATTGAACATCAGGCTCATGAATTAGATACCTGTGCTCTGCTGCGGCTGCCCCTAGACTTTGTAAATGAAGTCTCATTGGAGTTCCTTTTCACTTCTGTTACATTTTGGCTTTTTTACTTTCAACTGATGGGTTAATCAACTGTCAAGAAGTTGAAAGTTGATCTTCAAAGAATGCTATGCTTTGACTTCCCAATCAGAAGAACTGCAATAATGCCATTGGCAAACAAGTTGTTGTGGAGAGGTCGATACCTGTCATTTATGTTGATCAAATCAATCAACCAATCAATCATTCCGTTTTTTTCTTCAGTAAATACAACAATAGGATTTTCAGTACACAAAAATGAGGACGGATTGATGCAATATAGTAAGTGCTTCAACTTGTACATCACCGCTGTTTGTGAATCCAAGCCTGCCAGTCTTCATTTATTCATCCCATCGTAACTCTAGATGATTGGCCTATATAACTTTAGATTTGTGTAATCTGTTAAATATCAAGTCATTTTCATCTGCATCATTTCTCATCTTTAAATTTGATAAATTTTAGCAAACCTATTTGAGAGCCCCAAGGCCCTGATCAACATTAACTATTAGAGTCCACCATTGTGTTGTCCCATTCTACAGACTGCATTCCTCAATGCACCTGAGCATACCATGTCAACGCAGCACAGCTCAGTTTCCAGGTAGAATCTTAATCAGTCACAATAGCCCAGGTGCTGATGTAGTTTTAGAATCGCAGAGGAGGTGAAGGAGGAGAAGTATGATGCATTCCTGGCTCAATTTTGGGCATGTCCATTTCTGTCTTGCATGTTTGTTACCCAATTTAATAATTTCTGGCTGATAGGTATGATCCCTGCATCCATTATGCACCAGTGCCTGCCCCTGTACTTTTAACTTTAAGAAAACCTTTATGTCATTGAATCGGTTGCTTATCTGTATTGGTGTTTTAAACTATTTGGCGTTCATATTTCAACTGTTTGTTCCTTATAAGCAACGCTCTTGTTCGGATTTGTGGTGTTAACAATGTATGCAAATGTTTCAAATCACTGTTTCTCGTTTAAATTACTTGTTTCCTGATTCTAGTGATTATTGCTATGCAACATCCAGAACACAGGTACGAAATTGTAAAGATCCTACAAGAACAGAAGCATGTGTGTGGAATGACTGGAGATGGTGTAAATGATGCACCTGCTTTAAAGAAAGCAGATATTGGAATAGTAGTTGCAGATGCAACAGATGCTGCTAGGGATGCTGCTGATCTCGTCTTAACAGAGCCTGGCTTAAGTGTGATTTTCAGTGCTGTTTTAACAAGCAGGGCTATATTTCAAAGAATGAAGAACTATACAGTTGAGTACCTTTGTTTTCTTACATTTTTTTTTCTTTCTGGAAAAATAAAAATCAGTAGCATAATTTTACCATCAGTTCTTTACCACATACGTGCTAGAGTCCTGAGAGTAATGAAATTTCAGCCAAGGAAGTAAGTTGATGCACTTGAAATTCCTTTTGACAAACGCAAACCAATCAGATGCATGTACTGCTAATGAGCCACTTTTGTATATACTTCACATAACTATGGACCTAGATATTGCCCATGGATAATTCCAGGAGTAGAGATGAATTAGGTGCACTTGGTCCTTGATGGCCTTTATCTATGAGCATCCATGGCACATCAGAGAACTTATAGTGAGGTGTCATTTGCTCCTGTGAAGGTTTCATAATGATATTGATTACTTATGAATCTGCAGATATATGCTGTCTCCATTACTATTCGGATTGTGGTAAGCTGCTGGCATCCTTGTAAATCCGTTGTTTCAAGTGTTCTGTCTATACGAAGTTATAAATTTCATCTTTATTATGGAGTATCATAAGTTCGTGATTTTTTTTCAGCTTGGTTTTACACTTCTGGCATTGATATGGGAATATGACTTCCCACCTTTCATGGTTCTGATAATAGCTATACTGAATGATGGTAATGTTTCAACCTATGAATATGTAGACCTTCTATATTTTGAGCAAAATTATTGGTCAGTAATCTTTCCAGTTTGATTCAAGAACTAAAAAAAAAATGTATTCATCAATGAAACCAATCAAAAAAACGAAAAATTGAGAGAGAGAGATAGAAGGACAAGAAATTCAAATGTCTGGTCTTAGTTTTGCTTTATGCGTTGTCAACCTGAATTTGCTCTGCCAAGAACAAAACTTAATGCTTATTTATTTCAATTTTTTAGAAAATTTCTTGAATAAGTTTCATCTGATAGAATATTTTCTCCTTGCTTTGAATCTGTTCCTTCTCTTATCACTTATTCAGTTATTTGTCTTTTTACTCTCTGTTGGCTGCTAAGTGAAACTTTCAAGCATTCATTAGTTAGATATGTAGACCTTGTTATAAGAGCATAGTGAGATGTTTCTTTGGTGTAAGATAAAAACACACTAACTAGAAAAGTCCAGTCTAGTAGGAATCTTGATAGAACGAGAGATGATTGAATGATCCAAAAACAAAATTTTTAGTTTGGTCTGACAAAGAGGAGAAGATCTATTTTTAGATGCTGATTCTTAGCCATCTTAATAAAATAACTTCATGTAAAATCGTATGCTAAAAGATATGTTTATGTTTTGTAAACAGGTACCATTATGACTATTTCTATAGATAGGGTGAAACCATCTCCAAGGCCTGACAGTTGGAAGCTGAATGAGATATTTGCAACCGGAATTGTCATTGGCACTTATCTGGCTTTAGTGACTATCTTATTCTACTGGGCTGCAGCAAGCACCACTTTCTTTGAGGTATCATTATTTCATTATTCGGTTTCCAGTTCTTGAAAGCTTGAAACATTGTGTTCTGTTTCTGATATAATACTTGGTGAATTACTGATTTGGCTGCAGACTCACTTCCATGTGAAGTCGCTATCAGGAAATACTGAAGAAATTTCATCTGCTATATACCTGCAAGTCAGCATTATCAGCCAGGCTCTATTTTTGTCACACGCAGTCAAAGTTGGTCATTTCTGGAGAGACCTGTGACTCTTTTGATGTGTGGCTTTGTGGTAGCTCAATTGGTAAGCATTAGGCAAATACCCTGAGCTTTTAGAAAGAGCTTCGCATGCATGGGTTCCTTGCTTCCTCTATTGATTTTTTTTTTCACGTGTTTGACCTTCAATGAATGTCCCTACAGACATGCATAGAGTACCTGAATAAACCCTTGAATTGGTTTGGCCGTCTTGTTGGACCTACTTTTACATGTGTCTTTAACAAAGCTAGTACAAAAGAGCAGCACAATCTGAGAGATTTCAAATAATGGATTTGAGTTCATTGTTTTCTTGGCATGTAGGTTGCGACCCTGATTGCAGTCTATGCGAATATATGCTTTGCTCCAATTAGTGGCATTGGGTGGGGGTGGGCAGGAATTATATGGCTATATAGTCTGGCTTTCTATGTACCCCTGGATATTATTAAGTTTCTTGTTCACTATGCTTTGAGTGGGAAAGCCTGGAATCTACTGTTTGATAGGAAGGTTTGTCAATACTTTCATTTCCTGTTGCATTTTTAAATTCTGAAAATTATTCACTTTGTTGGAATGGTTTGTCATGCTTTATATCTAATTCTGGGTCTCAACAGACAGCATTTACATCCAGAAAAGATTATGGGAAAGAAGAAAGGGCAGCTAAATGGGTACTCTCTCAAAGATCACTACAAGGGTTGATGTCTGGAGAGTTTAGGATTAAGAGAAGCAGGTCTTCTCTGCTTGCTGAGCAGACCGGACGGCGTGCAGAAATAGCCAGGTGTGCACACTTCTTTTCGTTGAACTGTCTTTATTATGTATTTTATTATGTCTATTATCACATGATTTTGTAGTTACACTGTTTATTACAGGAATAATTGGCTTCTAGGTACCATTTCTTCCTAAATTAATTTGGCTTCTTTTGAAACTTGGTAAAACTACCATTCAACTTTTGCAGGCTAGGAGAGTTGCACACTTTGAGAGGACATGTAGAATCAGTAGTGAGGCGTAAGAATTTGGACTTAAATACAATCCAAACAGCACATACAGTCTAAAGCCATGATGTCTGCTGAGATAATCGATACGCTATAAGACAAGCTTTTCTGCAGCTGATGACATGATAATATGTTGTGCAAGAGAAATGTCAGGACAGTTGGTTGAGGTGCTTTTGGTGAACTATGCAGTATCATTCTAATTTCTTTAGACTCCAATGTTCTAAGAGATAATTTGAAAAGAAGCCTTCTTAGCAGATAATTCATGCCATTTCTTATTGATGCATTGCAATTATTGTTATTTTTTGGGTAGAGGACAAGACTGTCTTCAGTAAGAGTTGGATATTTTTACTTCTTTTTTGCCAAGATCTTTATGTAGTGGGTTAACACTTCTGGAAATGATAAAGCTCCAAACATGGTAGAAATTTCGTCATTAGTCCTGCTTATCAAAAGGATTCTGCTGTGTGTTTTGCCAAAATGATGGGAAATCCTTTCTTGTTGCCACAAAATTGTGTTGCTTCAGGGCAGCTTAAAACGCCGCGTGTTTCGGACATAAACACAAGATTGCACATTTATTCAAAAAACAGTAAGCATTTTCTGCTCAGATCAATACCACCATATATCAGTGCAACAATGTAAGCAAATGACATTGTTTCACTCAAACATGCAAAAAACAAAATTTTATTATACATAAATCCTCAAATAAACCAATAAAATCAGGTCACTTCCTAATGCTACATGACCATTTTTCCATAACTCAAGATGAGTTCAAATCTCACCTCTCAAACTCATGATTTGACTACTGCATTTGCTTTGGAAATCCAAATTCCGCCGTGATAGAAATCACCATTATTTGCAAGAGAAACTTTCTTATAAGGAGGACATACGAATAGTTCTACCCCTTCCAAGCCTTACAGAGTTGACGTAATCCATGGGACTGTGTGCAGAAATACCAGGGAGTGCCAGTCCTACTATCCTGAACAGAATGGATTCCCAGCACTCCTTATATTCCGGCCCTTTTACGTACCCCATAGCCAAACTTCTTATCAGCTCCCAAACAGCATTCAGGTATGCTGGAATTAGGTATCGCAACCCAAAGTAGTTCGGGTTTGGCTCTTCATCCACTTTCTTCAAGAAAAACACACACACAAAAAATAACCAACACAGTGTTAGCAACAACGTTGATCAAAAAACTTTGGACCACTGCATGCAGAACTTGTAATAGAAATCCAAAAAGAAAACATGTTCTACAACTTTAAGATTGCATAACGAAGTTGTAAAGTTTCTGATACGTCATATCCTAAGTTTCTGGAGTATGTCATCATGATTCTTATATAGTTAGAACCAAACCCAATGACAATAAGAGTTTACAAGAATAAAAACAAAAAGTACCCTTCCTTCAACCTGAAAGTTCTGCCCTTTCCTCCTGATCTATGTGGCACTTATAGTTTAGGGACATAAATCTTTGTTGATAGCCCCTATATTATGAATAAACTCTGTGGCAGATATCTCCAGATTTATCGTTTCTAAAAACATGTTATATTGCAAATAGAAACAAGATATGAACATGGATGGTGAATCTCCTTTATAAAATCTTTAGCAATAGAAACTTAGAAATTGAAGGATATACATTGAATAGGAATACCAGAAAACTTACTTGCCCAATGTAGAGGCTGTTGTAGTAGAGGCACACCCCAAAATGCTTATACAAGAAGGTTCTGTCATCATAAGGCAACCTCGGAACAAGGTCATTGCAGTAGACTACCCTAAAGTATTTTGGAACCGGATACTCTAGATGGGCTTCCATGAACCTAACCAATTGTATATTGCCAATTCTTGGCTGTCCAAATGTGTACACACCCAACAACCTTTGCATGACCTCCTCCTCCTCATGTAACACTAGCAACGTTGGGAACAATATGGCAAGGGCCCCTCCTAAGCTATGCCCAGTGACCACAAATTTGGCATTCTTGTGCTCTGTCAGTAAGCTCTTGAGCACACTTTTCACACAAAAGTATGCAGTCATCTCTATCATCTCTGGTGTGAGCTTCGTCTCTCCAGTACTAGATGGTCCTTCAAAATCAGAAGACTGATCCCCTCCACCATGTTGTGTGTCCGAATCAATAGATGAGGATCGTGATTCAGAACCTTCTGAAGAGCCTGTTGTTGAATCAACACCATTTGGAGAGGAAAACTGTGTGCTTGTCATTTGAAGATATTCGTGGAAGCTGGTGGTATCAACTCTGCTGCCCAAACCTAAGGCTTCCAAAAATCCCATGTGCACTTTTCCTAGTTTTGGGATCTCATACCAAGAATAGTCAAAATCGGTACTCCAGTCATCTGCATCAAATGGCTCTGTGCCCCTGAAGCTGATCAATATCAAATCTGCATCTTTTGGCTTGTCGCAGAGTATGAAAAGTTGGGTGGATTTGTCCTTCTGATAATCTATCAAACATATACCAAAGACCTATAAATTAGGAAAAAAAAAATTCAACAAAATTTTCAAGAGAAGGAAGCAAAACACATACTAAATGCATCTGCTTTTATCAAAAGCAATCTGTAAAGCTAGATAATTTTGGAATTTTCATTAAACACATGCATGCAAGATTTTCGTACCGTTCCAGCAGTTGTAGAACTCCACAAAATGCATCTGCTTTTGTCAAAAAAGTGACACTACAGAAGTTAATATCCAATACACAAAAACACACACACACACACAGAGCAATGATAAAAAGGACATGCCTTCCAGTGATGATTTACAACATTTTCTACGACTTTGGCATTCTCGTAGGATAATTTGGCAGCCATCATACAGAGGTCCATAAGAGGCCAATTTCCAATTTCTGCTTTCATGCTTCTCTCCCCAAAAGAAGTTTCATCAGTGTCTTCCTCTGAACCGGTCCTAGATAGATCTATTCGCCCATCTATATGCCCTATTAAGCTTATAAAAGTCTCAGATCCTCTTTGTGGCATCACTACCTTTCCTGCATCGTGAACATTATCGCAGTACTTCATCAGGTTACATTACTAAGACTGCAACAAGTAATACAATCTTAGCTGACGATGAGATTGCCATAAAGACGTAGAGTCGCATGCATATATATTTCAATATATTGCATATAATCATCATTATTATGTAAATCATCTAGGCTGAAGTTGCATACATATTATCCAGAATAACAAAAAAATTGCAATAAATGTCAAATCCCATTACTTCATTACTCTAATAAGTCACAAATGTGAGAGACTAAAACATTGAATCCTCTAATAGTTGTCAGCAAACTTCCTGAAGTTTCTTTGAAATCTAACAACTTATGCTATGAAAATCCATTCACACCCCAAAATCCAAACATTCATAGGATATATAAGATTAAAATTCCTATCTTGTAGTTGCGAGTAATGAAGAACCGTCCCAACTGTGTATCTTTTGACATCATACGACAGTTACGACTACAACATAAACCGGTAAATTATACACATAGGACAGAGTTTCTATGAGACCGAACTTGGGATGTAACCCTCAAACTTTTCACATCCGATCTAAAACAGGGTATGGTCATAGTTTATTGACTAGCATGCATGTATACAGTTTATCATTGCTGGGAAGGAATAAAATCTACTTGGTTTCTATAATGGAAGCACTTGCTACTAATAACAGAAAATAAAGTATTACCAAATAAGATTGGAGTGATACAACACTATTAAGTATTAACTCATCCTCAACCCAGATATGCCGTCAATCAACCACAGCAGCCACCATAGATAGATCGAAATGGCAAATTAAAGCAGTTAGAAAAAGACATATGAACTAGGGATGGCAATTTCAAATACAACACGAAAACATGATTTGGAATTGACACGAAATTAGCAGGTTAGAATTAACTATTTCTCGACAAGAACTTGTATATAACATGACGTGTATAAGTTGAGTCAGTGTCAAATACGAATAATACGATTAACAAGTTTAAATAATATTATAAGAATAAAATGTTAAATTTTTATTATATTTTATCAAAGTAGTGACTTAATTCTTGTACATAAGGATATTTTTACACATTTTTATTATTATATTTATTGAGTTAATTTTTATAGAAAAAGTATGAGCATAATAATGAAATTTTGAGCATAATAATGAAATTTTGAACATAAAACTAAGTGTCACAATTTTTATTCATGGGTTTTATGGGTCAACACGAATAAGAAATGAAAATAAATAAATCGATATATACGACACAATTAATTAAACGAGTTCAATTAAATTGATTAGTGCGTGATATAAATTTGAAATAACACGAGAAAAACGTCAACAGACGTCGCACGATTGCGGCTCTAAATTATCAACCAACATAATTGGATGTGTGTTCTGTTCTGTATGTAAGGAGGGTGTAGTGTAGTACCATGGAGAAGGTTGCAGAGTAAACCGAGGAGGTTGCCATTGAGGGAGAAAAGATTAAGAACAAACTCGATCAAGTAGCCAATCCATTCCATGGGCTTCCCAGAAAGGGATAAGATTTTCCTCACTATTATAGACACGAATATCACCCATCGATGGTCAGGCGCCGTCACATCACCACCACCCAGCTCCTCCGCAAGGACGCCATAGTCAGAGCTTTCGATAAACTTAGCAGCGCCCCTTTTGTCTGCCGATACCCAGAACCGTAAGAGGTCGAAAATCCCACCATTTTCAGGCCTAACAATCATATACCTGCTGTAACTCTCAGAAACAACAGTATTATCATTCTCCATAGCCATGGATATTATTCTCAGTGAACTTATCTGTTGACTGTTCTTCAAGAAATCTTAGAGAGAGAGAGAGAGAGAGAGAGAGAGGCTTTGGAATTTGACACAACAGCGTTACGAATTTATATTGTGGAAAGGTAGTAAAGAGTCACGTGTAGAAAAAAGATGGCGGTTATGGCACAACATGTCCTGCATCCGTCATCGTCAAGCGTAATCTGTGTTTTTTCTTGGGGAGTGTGAATTACCACAGGAGGATCCTCATCCACAACCACCACAACGGCGTTGTGGGCCACGGACTACCCCATAATGGAAAGGGCAGAAGTATGGGCCAATGGAAGAGCCCATGAAGGAATTTCTGGAGTATGTGTCATGTCCAACACCATTTCTTTATCTGTTTTGATGGTTGAGAAACTAAATAAATATTATATATAATAGTAATACCACGTTATTATTGATATATTATAATATTAATTAATAATAAAATTCCAAATATGATAAGCGAACGTGTTATTTCAATGCATTAGTTATTCAATGTGCTGGTTATTGACAATTATTACTGTTTATTTTTTATATTTCAGTCGTTCCAATAGATCACTGTATCACTATTTCACTCATTTATTGGATTAATATTAGACATTTACATTGTCGTCACGGATGGTGTCTCCAAGGGGCTATACCTCATTAGGGGCAGCCTAATAATACTTGAGGGCCTAAACAAAATTTTTAAATGGGGTCCCAAAATTATTTTTAGATGAATAATTTATGTAATTTTTATTTCTAAATATTTAAATTTATATCTTTTAGTAGGTATATTTAAGATAAAAATCAACTTAACTTGGAAATTATAGTTCAAGAAAATATAATTGTATAAATAGGATAGAGTTATTGTAAATTTAGATAAAATAAGAGCGTAAAATCTTATAATTTTTTGTACAAGAATATAATGGGATCTTTTTTTTTTCTTTTTGAATGCACATATTTTTATGATTTAAAGAACAATATTTTTAAAATATTTTTGATCATTTTACAAAATATCTTAATTTTTTTTAAAAAATTTATTATAATAATTTTGTGAAACATATATGAATGGGACTTTAGGCTACCGCCTCACTTGCTAATTATGGGGTCGGCATTACGCTTCGTAGGATTTTTGAATCCTTAACCTACCCTCAAGAGAAGTTTATCAAGCGGTTAAATTATTACTAAGCTAACTCTCGGGATCAATAATGACAATTATTAAAAGTGTGGGATTCACTAAATTAACATGATATGTCATCATTAGTTGATAATATTTTGTGTGCCCCACTTGGGTGGTTTTTCCATATATTTGTATTGTGTGATGAGGGAACGGCTTGGATTGATTTCTACTTAGCATATTTAGACCTTGATACCAAGTAAGACCAACAACTATTCCAAAAATTTAAATTTTTTCATAATGATATAACATAAGGGTTTTTTTTTATTTTTTTTATTTTCAAACTTTTATTTTATACTTTCAATGATTAAATTTTTCATATTGCACCTTTAATTAATCAAACATAAATCTATAATATAAAATATAACAGATTTTAATAAAATCAATCCGACAATCTCAAATAGATTCATATAACGGCCACCAACATCTCTATTAAAATAATTCATATTGTATCGTACTTTAAGACACGAGTTTTCTCTAATATCTATCGATTATCTCAGTTTATCCACCAACAATATTTTTAGATTTTTTTTTTTTTTTGGCTATTTTAACTTATGGATTCAACATTTGTCTCATTTTTAGATATGAGATTTTGTGTAATTATTTTTCTTTGAAAAAACATGATTTATTATCTCATGGTTATGGCTGCGTCATTATTTCACAATGAAAAGGTTTGGTACTTGGTGATACGTGAACGTATTGAGAAAGGGAGAAAGTTGGATGGGTGTGTGTGAGAGAGAATTGAAGCAAAACGAAATACAAAAAAGTCAAGTTGGTTAGGATGATCTATATATAGCTATTAATATGGCTAATATTGTTGATTGTTGATGTTAGCCTAAAACTAAAAGCTTTCCCTTGTGTAACTGCAAATAACAGCCCTCTTTATTCATCTTTTATCCGAAGTCTCTCACGTTCTGAGTTTAAATTTTTAACAATTTTTTGAGTTTCGGTCATGACAAATTTATTTATAATAAATATCTTAATTCTGGCATGAATGACTTTTCATTTGATCGAACTGGAGAAAGGATTAGTTGAAATGTCCGTAAATTAGTCCGAATGCCCAAATGTGTTTACTTTAAGTATTAGCAAAGAGAGATCAGAGAAAATAACGTCGGACTCACCTTATCCCTCTTCTATTCATGTTTGGATACACATTTTGGACCCAACATTATCATTTAAAAATAATACCGACCCAGATGAATAGTTTATTTAATATCACATACAACCTCTTAAATAAACTCACTTTTTTTTGCTAGGTTTAAATAATCTAATTGGAATGTGTTAGGTCAAAATATATTTTTACATTCAAATATCTCTAGGATATAAATATCACTTTTTATTTTAAGGATTCTTTAATAATTTAATGTTTATACTATCATTCAATACTCTATCAAAACAAAATATTATATGAGATAAATGTGCTGTTTCTTAATATTTAAATCAAACATGGAATGACGAGATATTATCATTATAATTAGTCAAAGGACAAGATAGATGAATAAAAGATGAACGACATTATTTAATCCGATCATTTTTAATGTATAAACCAAACACACCTTATTCTTGAACCCAAAAAAAAAAAAAAATAGTTCCACTTAGCTGGCATGGCATTGTGTTGTGTTAGGTTGGATTTCAAATTGCACGGCCCAAAGCCCAATTAGCCAAGTGGCATTAGGGGACCTATCTCCAATGCAGTGAGCACCGTGGCTAAGAACCTACCTTCAATCTAATGACCGGTTGCACTTAAAAAGATACTCTCTCCATTTTTAAATATTTGTTATTTTACAGAATTTTTTTATTTTATAATATCTATTATTTAATGAAACCAAAGCATAATTAATATTTTTTCTTCCAAATTTACTCTTAACTTTTCAATACATTAGATTTGGTGGAGGCTAAGTGTCTTTCATATTCTTTTTTTTTTCAATACGTATTGAATAAGGGTATTTTAGTCTTGTGTAATTATTTTTTTACTCATATTATAGCTATTTAATAACTTTTTTAATCTCTGTACAAAAAATTTAACCAACAAATATTTAAGAACGGAAAAATATTAATCAAGTCGAACTTGTCAAGTGTCTAGTTGTTTAGATTTAATATAATTTTATTTGATATTGTACTATCCAACTACCCAACTAGGGTTCTCATAAATCCAAGTGAATCAAGACTAAAAGATACAAAACATGCAGGCTTGTGAGCCCGCATATCCCACCAAAACCCCTCAAACTTCTTTATAATCAATTGTAAAATCAATTTGATAGGACATTTTTAGAATACTCCAAGATGAAGACACGTGTCTTCGGTGTCACTGATCCTTGTTATCGAGATCACGTACCCATCGGGGTCACAAGTCCCATCTACCCCGAGGTACTTATCATGGGATCGAGTGGCATCCAGTACGTTTTTATGTACCGACACGTACCCTCGGTCTGATATGGTACATCGGTCGCTAGGCCTCCCCCTCTCGGATTCAAGATGTACCTATTCCTCGGTTCGAGATGTACCTCTTCCTCGGCTCCGAGATGTACCTCTTCCTCGGCTCTGAGATGTACCTCTTCCTCGGTACCGAGATGTACCCCTCTCATCCAGGATGAAGTTCTCTGCTCCAGCAGAGGCTATTGATGCACTGGTCACTAGCCTAGGCTAGGCTAGGTTAGCTATCATGACCTCGTCTTACACAATTGGTGTCAGAAGGCACAGGAAGGCAGGGGCCACAGCCAATGAGGAATGGACGCGTGGTATATTGTGTCACATCAGAGACAGAAAGACCGCATGACCTTGCTGACACGCGACTTGGGAAAACAAGCATTTAATTACACCATTCCCTTGATGAGACTGCATTCAATGCGGTAAGGCTCAGAAGTGAAAGGCAATAAATGTCTCTAAGGCTGGGCATTTATTGCATCCTCCCCGAGAGGAGCTCATTGAACCGTCGGCAGGCCGATGACACAGTCTTGATTGCTCGGGGTCTCGAGCAGTTAAGAGAGAAGACATTCCTCATAGGAATCAGTGCGCACGTTGCCTGTATCTAATGATCACCTACTGACCACACTGACAGCAATCATGAGTATTTGAGGTATAAATACTCCTCACTAAAGGCAAGGAAAAGGAGGTGAAACTTTTGCTACAAACTATACTCAGTGTTTTCTTCTTCCTCTCTCTCAAAAACTGACTTGATCGTCGGAGGGGATACGCCGAAAAACACTCTGGCGCCCTTCTAACTTGTTCTTCTTTGTTCCAGGAACCTTTCTTTAGCCTTACTGGATCGTTCCTTTGATCCGCGAGGATCTCCCATTACCGTTCCAGGTTACCACCGGATCTAACAGGCTGTTCCAAGCAGCGTGATTGACCACCCAACTGACTCACTCGAGTTCACCAAGGGAGAGATCTGTTCTCGTTTTTATATTGTGCAAGATCTAGCACGCACAATCTGGCGCCGTCTGTGGGAAACGACTAGTTTTCCTAGTTTTTTTCTATAAAGAACAGTGATCATGGTGAACACTCGACAAAAAGGGAAAGGTCCCCACTAAAGAAGTCTCGAATTACAAGCTCCCTGTAACCATGAAGGGAGGGATCACACTGATGGGAATAAAAATGCCTCTACTCAGTCAAGAGGGGTTACCCCTCAAACCAGTATGGGAATCAGGTCAGGGGGATCAGCCCCCTTGGCTCGTCAGCTGGCGGAGGTGATCGAAGAAAAGTTTGACGATAGATTACGACAGTTGGAAAAGGACAATATAAACGTCCTAAGCCGGCTCAACGAATTTGCCGCCTCCGGCGAAGGGTCGAGGGACTCATTCCTTTCTCGTGGGTTCCC